CCCCCCTCTCTTCATCCCTAAACCCTCCTCCACCTGCCCCGCCCACCGCCTGCATCGCACTACCTGCCTACACTTTCAACATACCTAACACCACGTCCAACCGCACCGCACGGCACTGCACTGCACTGCGCACTGCACCGTCTTTTCCATGTCTCTGCTGCATACGCACTGCAACTGTCGCATTGGGACATCTCATATCTGACACGCATGTATAGGGCAAGCAGCTGTTTGGCGTCTTCAAGGAGGCCAAAGCCTGCTACCAGGAGAAGAAGGCTGCCATCAAGGCCGACAAGGCCTTTATCAAGCGTGCCCAGACCTTTGATGTCGCCCGCGATATTCACGCCCAAGCGCCCCCGCCGCCTCCTTCCGCCCACAACCGCGCCTACGTCTATGACGACTATGTCGAATATCAGGAGGACGCCCGCTCTCGTGCCTCGCACAGGAGTCACCGCACCTCTCGAACGAAGCGCTCCCAGTCGCAGACCTCACGACGGACCCGTGGTGATGTCGAATACCATGCTCGTCCCGCCCTGACGGCGAGCAACCTCAAGACGCACTCCGAAGTCTCGAGCGTGGCCCCCTCGCGCGTGCCGCGAACAATCGACTACCGATCTCCCTACGCAGAGACGGCCCCGCGCGACATGGCCCTGAGCCGACCGACATTGCACCATTACACAACAGCCCCTACCGCCACCGAGTCTCTCGCCGATTCGACGACAATCCGCGGCGTTCCGGCGCCCAGCATCCGGGCCGCCCCAGCCCCTCCTGAGCCCGGCCATCTGGCGCGCGCGGCAACCTTTGACGTGGCCCCGCGCCGAAAAGAGAAGGAGATTGACATGAACCTGGCGTATGGCAACATTCCGCCCGACCTCGAGTCTCGCACCGATCTTGACCCGGCCTACAAGGAGGCGGAAGCCAAGACGCTCATCGGCCGTGTCGAGTCCCTCCTCGACGAGGCCGAGTGCGTCGGGTACTCTGCCACCACCATGATCAAGCGCCTGCAGGCCGATCCCAATGCCGCCGCCGCCGTGGCCCTGTCGCTTGCTGAGTTGTCGAAACTGCTCAAGACGATGAGCCCCGCCTTTCTCGGCCTCCTCAAGGGAGGGTCGCCGGCCGTCTTTGCGCTGCTGGCGTCTCCCCAGTTCCTCATTGCGGCAGGCGCGGCTGTGGGCATGACGGTCGTCATGTTCGGCGGATGGAAGATTGTCAAGCAGATCAAGGATGCCCAGGCGCAGAAAGAGGCCATGGCCGCCGAGGCCATGGCTTTCGAGGCCTTGCCAGAACCCGCGCCGCAAGTCTACGCCCCTCCCAGCGTGCACCCTGAGATGATGGGAGCCGAGATGCCCCGGGGTGGCGGATGCGGCGGCAGCCAGGGCAGCTACGATGAGGCTCTCGTTCTGGAGGAAGAACTCAGCACGATCGAGTCGTGGAGGCGTGGCATCGCGCCGTTTGGCGAGGATGACAGCGCAGATTTCGAGCTCATCAGCCCCGAGGCCGAGCGCGCGCTCCGCAAGCAGCGACGCGCCGAGGAGAGGGGGGATGACGACATGGTCTCGAGGTCGGGTCGGTCGGAGCGGAGCTCGCGCACACACCGCAGCTCCAGGACGACCAAGACGACCAAGACGCACAGGTCGCACCACAGCCGGAAGCCCGAGAGCGAGGCTCCCGATCGGAGGAGTACCGCGCTCACGGTCAAGGATGACGAGAGCGTCGCGGGCAGCCAGCGGAGCCACCGGTCGACGCGGTCGAAACGGAGCGAGAGGACGGCCGTGCTCGCCATTGAGCCGGCGCCGGCTGCGGGGTCCGACAATGGGCTGGAGCACGTGCTTCGGCCGAAGAAGGACAGCATGCTCAAGTCGTTGTTCAAGAAGAAGGAGAAGGATGGACGGCTCGAGAGCAGGGAGAAGGTGTCTGCCGTTGTGTTTTGATCTCGCCTGGACGCAGCGGCGAGGGGACGACGTAATGATGGAACGATCGGGACCAGATTTTGTTTTGCAAGCATGACAAGCATATATACCATGATATTTGAGAGGAGCCTACATTAGCATTTGCCAGACAATTCACGTCCTTCTTTGGGTGCTTTATGATTGGTTGAGGCTCGGCTACGACGTTTGGCCGCGTAGATTGTCTTTTTTTGCCGGATCCGATTTTCGTGCTGCAAATGGCAGTCACTTTCATGCCCTGAGAAACATCACTTGTCCAGTGGCCGGGCCCATGGTCAAAGACATGGTCAAAGCACAACGCTCATTGTTGCCGTGGTATCTGGAACAGTCGCACCCAACTATCCTGCTCGAATCAAAAGAAGTCCCTGTGCGTCTGCTCCTCTTCACGCCAGCCCAAATTTCAAACGCCGCGAATCTTGCCCCTTCGCCTTGCCCCTATGTACACCATGCAGCCCTGCCGCGTCTCTGTCCGGCAGGACAGACAGAGGCAGGACAGACAGAGGAGGGCTACGCCCAGTTCTCCGGGCTGATGCCGATGTTGCCAATGCTCCAGCGGTCGAGGTCGACGCTGCCCTCCTCCTCGCGCTCCTTCTCGTCAATGGGGCGGGCAAACTCGGTGAGGAAGCGCAGCATCCAGCGGTCCATGCGGTAGGTGTGGTCCGTGCTCTTGCGGCACAGCTCGTGGAACGTCTTGAGGCGGGCAAAGCAGACCTCGAGGGCGGGCCAGTACTGGCGCAGGGTGACGAGCGAGTTGAAGTTGCGCTCGAGCTGGGCGCGGGCGGCGGCGACCTCGGCCTCGTCCGTCTCGAAGAGGAGCGTGTGGATGAAGACGGAGGACGTGACGACGATGATGTGGCCGAGCATGTTGAAGAAGCAGTCGCAGCCGGGCGTCGTGTTGGCGAGGTCGATGATGCGCGACAGCGACGCCGCGTTGGCCTTGCACTTGCGCGCGAACGCCTGCGCCGTCAGGGACGCCGGGAACCGCTGCTGCTCGTCGAGGTACTGGTAGAAGAGCAGCTGCGAAAAGTGGTAGTGGCTCACGTGCACGGCGATGAAGATGCGCCCCTGGCCCTGCGACGCGAACGCGTGCAGGTTCGACGGCGTGTCGCGGATGCTCGGCGGCAGCGCCACCTCCCAGGCCTCGAGCTCCTGCGACAGGCTCGACACGGTCTCGTCGATGCTCGTGACCGACGCGTCCGACGTCAGCGTCTTGATGGCGTCGTTGACCTTCATGAGAATGCTGTTGAGCTTGATGTTCTGCGCGATCAGCGAGTCCTCGCGGTTCGGCGACAGGATAAAGTCAAAGTGGTTGCTGCTCGCGCGGCTCATGTTGAGAAACGTCGACTCATTCATCGGCAGCGGCACGTCGTGCCGTCGGTTCATCAGCAGCGGCAGGTTAACGCCCGTCGACGACCACACGTCGATCATGCAGAGGGACCAGTAGACTGTGGGTGGGCGGAATTTCAGCTTAGCAGGGGAACAGGCCAAAAGGACAGGATCAACAATTGCCTACCTCGGATGTGGATCTCGCGCTGCAGCGGGTCCGGCGTCGGCATGTTCGGCAGATCGAGAAAGTTGGCGATGCGGCAGGCGGCAGCGTAGTAGACCGTCTCGGCGCCGGCCTCGCCCTCGACGATGCTCACAGCGCCCAGCAGGACGCACGCCTGGCTCGTCGTCAGTGACACGTCGCGCAGGTTCAGCAGCAGGTTGCACTCGGTGGCAAAGTGCTCGCCGCGGGCCATGGGCGGGATGCCACTAAAGGCGTGGTTCGACGAGAAGCGCGCCGACAGGGCCATCATGCCGTAGACGAGGACCAGGGGCGCCGTGCCCTCGTGAAGGTCGAGCATGAAGCTCGGGCGGTGGAAGAGCGAGTGCAGCTGGTCGTGGATGTACTTGAAGTACAGCTCGACCAGCTCAAAGCAGAGGGCCTTGTCCTGGACGGCGGCGGCCGGCGCGATGCCCATGATCTGGGGTGACATGTTTGTCGTCGCCGCCGCCGCTCCTGTCGTCAGGGTCATGGTTGTCGCCGTCGTCACCGTCGGGCTCATGACGTGGCCCATGTCACGGGTCATGGTCATGTCCATGGACACGACTGCTGGCGGCACGGGACTTGTGGGTGACTTTTTGGGCTGGATGATGGAGCCGGCGCGCGAGCAGGCGAGGTTCTGGGCGCTGCAGTAGGCGCACTGGCCGCCGGGGATGGGAACTTCGCATTTCCGCCTTCGAGCTCTGTGTTGCGTGTCAATGGGTGGTCTGTTATGTATGAAGATCATGTGCTCTGGCTGTGATGCCTGTGCTCTGGGTGATGCCCATAGGCAGGCAGGGTCCTCGTCGCAGGAGGGGAGTTGGTCTCATGGCCTCCAGGGGGAACTCGATCTCATGGTCTCAGGGAGGGAGAGTCCATTCAATGTGCGTACAGGGGATGGGGAAATATAGTCCAGTCACTCACCGACAGGCCGAGCATGCTGTTGAGTACCTCATCTCTTGGGTCGAGTGTGCGGCATGTTACCGCAGATATTTGATGAGGGCCTGGCAAGGAGGCGATGAGGCTGGCGGCGACAAGCCAGAAGGCGGAGGAGGGGTCCTTGCGTGAGTGGCATGAGGCGGAAGGAGCAGGCGAGGAAACGCGGAGGTCAGATGGCACTGTCCGTCGCGGGGAAGGAGTGAAGGAGTGGCGTAGACGCGTTGTGAGTGGCCAGACGTCAAGAACTGTGGGTTAGCTGGGGCCCCGCCTCAGCGTGCCTCTAGGGTCTTTCGGTTAAATGGCCTGCCTAGGTACCTCCAGGCACAGGTACCTCTAGGCACATGTACTCTAGGCACAGGTACTCTAGGCACAGGTACCTCTAGGCATAGGTACCTAGGTGGGCATCTGTAGGCAGGTACAGTAGGACCTGGGATGATGGCCTCACAGCCACTGGCTTGGGCCGATGCACCTAAGCTCCATCGGAGTCGGGAGCCTCACTCCGATGGGCTGCCAGCTGGTGATGGCTGTGAGTGGCTGCCGCAGAATGCTAGACTCTGGTCATGATGAAGACATGGAAGTTGATTGTTGTGCCTGACATGGGGTTGTCAGTACTGAGTAATCAATACCGTACTACCATGATTGCTTTGAACGGCCGGGTGTCTCATGTTTGGGTAGCCATATGAAATGACACGTCGGCTGACTCTCGAGCGACTTGTGCCTGCGTCATGGGCCAGATCGCAAGGAACTCATTGTCGTTGCTGAGACACCCGATGGGATGGAGCACCTTCAACGGTATCTTGACGAACAAGAAACGAAAGAGCGGCCGCATAGTAGACAGTTGAAGAGCCAACTTGGCCGATCCTTCTCTTGCCCACCGTCATGTCAACACTGGTTGCCCTGAAGACGGAAGAGTGAAGACGAAGAAGAAGGAAGACGAACACGCCGAAACTCTACCCCTCATGATGGACTTCCAACTGGAAAGGCTGCCAGCTCTACACCCTCCGAACCTCATCCTCGACACTACGATGTCAGGGCCAACCCATCCTTAAGTACTTTCGCCGTGCTTTCCTCCCTCCTCCTCCGGCGCCAGTCCAGGTGATCCAAACCCGCTAGCGGCGCGGGCTATATCCGAGAGATCGTGAATGGGCAGACAAAGGCCGATGCGACACACTCCTGAGGTGCAGCGCACGCCGAAAGTGGTGATGCCTCAAGGCCTGTATGGCGGTTTTGCATCGTGCTGATTGGTGCGTCCCGAGTCAAGCCGCGACCCCCGTCCGGCAATGTCTGCTACGCCTGGCACGCGCCGTCCCGTCGCTCTGTCTATCGAGCTTGGATGGAAGGCTACGGTGCTGCTGCTTCCTCGGATGGAGTCTGTGTGATGCAGAACGATCTGGGTCAAGTGATGGAATACGGCACCAGGCGAGCCCTGTGATGCCTCGAGGTAAGCATCAGGAGATGGTTTTCGTGCGTTTGATTGGGACGTGTCATATGGATGAACGACCCAATCACAAGACCCTGTCTCCTCACTGTACCACGTGCCGTCGCACCTGCAATACGTGATCCGTCTCGCCTCACCGCCTGCCTCATTTCAGCCATCTGCCTCTGCCTCAACCTCCGCTGCCTGTCTCCCTGGTCGTGCTTCTCAACGCAGTCGGGACCAGCAGCAGTCTATTCTATCTTGACCACCTCGGAGACCTGGTCAAACGACTCCGTTAAGTGTCTTGAGCTCAACTTCCACCAGCTCTATTACCTGTGGGCACCCTATCGAATGGCATCCCGATAGGTCTGGTCGGTGCACCTCGCAGCCTTTGGAGGCATCCCGCCGAACCCCGCCTATCTCTTCACTCATCGGAACCTCATCATCCTTTCATCCGCCCAAGCTCGCCCACGAAATGGCCTCGTCTTCTCAAAGCCGAGAATATGGGGCACTTCCCCGACCTTCCGACTCATCCTCGCGGCCCTCGCTAGACCAGGACGAGCCCCAACACCCCCACGAAGCTGTCGCCTTGTTGTCAGGCACAGTATCGCCTGTTTCCGACGACGGCAGCCGTGGCATTCTCGGTGGCAGGTCTCGCCACGGTCACTTGGAAGGCTCTGACGATGGCCCTGACACGACGGAACGCCAAGCCCGCCAGGCCATGGCGGCCGAGCATGCTCTGACGCCGTGGCAAGCCATCAAGATGTATCCAATGGCTATCTTTTGGAGCCTTATGGTATCCATGTGTGTCATTATGGAAGGTATGCTCTGTCTGTCTGTCTGTCTTTCCGGTCATGCTGTCTTGCTGACCAACCCCAGGCTACGATGCCATCCTCATCGGGAACTTCTTCGCTTATCCCGCCTTTGCGGAAAAGTACGGCCAATATGTCGACGACAAGGGACAGCATCAGCTCTCTGCGGCGTGGCAGGCTACCCTGGGCAACGCCAGTACAGTCGGATGCTTCATCGGCGTCACTGTCAACGGCTTCCTTGTCGACCGGTACGGCCAGAAGCGCGTCATTGTCAGCGCCCTCGGCGCCCTCTCGCTCTTCGTCTGCATTACCTTCTTCGCCGATAGGATCCTGGTCCTCATGTTTGGGCAGCTTCTCTGCGGCATCCCGTGGGGCATCTTCGCTTCGTCTGCGCCCGCTTATGCGTCTGAAGTGCTGCCAATGTGTTTGCGCGCATACCTGACGTCGTGGACCAACATGTGCTTCATCATTGGACAGTTGATCGCAGCCGGTGTCCTGGCCACGCTCGTGTCGCGGACCGACGAGTGGGCGTACCGTATCCCTTTTGCCATCCAGTGGGTGTGGCCTGCTTTCCTGATTCCCATCCTAGTCTTCGCCCCAGAATCGCCCTGGCATCTCGTCCGCCAGGGACGTCTCGACGAGGCCGAAGAGTCCCTCCACCGGCTGCAGAAGAAGTCGGCATCGCGATCACACGTCAAGGCCATCCTCGCGGGCATCATCCGCACCAACAAGCTCGAGATGGAAATCACCGCCGGCACCAGCTACTGGGACTGCTTCCGCGGGATCGAGCGCCGCCGCACCGAAATCGCCTGCCTCGCGTTTGCCGGCCAGGTCCTCTCTGGATCTGCTTTCGCCTACAACTCGACGTATTTCTTCCAGCAAGTCGGCGTCTCGACCGAGTGGACCTACAAGCTGAACATTGGAGGCACGGCCATGGCCCTCGTCGGCACATTCGTTAACTGGTTCGCCCTGATGCCGTATTACGGCCGCCGACAAATCTACCTCCGCGGCCTGTCGACCATGTGCGGTGTCCTCCTGCTGATCGGCGTCCTCAACGTGTGGACGTCGACAAAGGCCGTCGGCATCGCCCAGGCAATCCTCACCCTGCTCTGGACCTTCGTCTTCCAGCTGTCCGTCGGCCAGCTCGGCTGGTCCATCCCCTCCGAAGTGGGCTCCACGCGCCTGCGCCAGAAGACCATCTGCCTCGCGCGCAACGCCTACTACGTCGTGCTCGTCATGTCCAACGCCCTGCAGCCCTACTTTATGAACCCACGCCAGCTGAACCTCAAGGGCTACGCAGGTTTCTTCTGGGGGACCACCGCCGCGCTGACCTTTCTGTGGGCCTTCTTGCGGCTGCCGGAGACCAAGGGCCGCACGTACGAGGAGCTCGACTGGCTGTTTGCGCAGAACACACCCACGCGGGCGTTTGCCGGGACGGAGGTCAAGGGGCTGGGTGGGGAGGACAAATTGCATTTGCCGCCGGTGCATTGATGGTATGGCGTTGTTTCGGCAGACGCGGCGAGATGGGTGCGGCATGGTTAGGGAGATGACTGCACGTTCATGATGACGAAAATAGACCAGCGACGCAGAATTAATGACACTTACTTTCACCCGTTACGTCCAACATCATGACTTAACGCAGTCATTTGGGATTAAAGAGCACCCGATCGAAAAGGGCCGCGGCCAATGACCCCAAACAAATAAATACTACGAGGCTTGATCATCCTACACAGCTTCATAAAAACACTTCGGGATCCCGACATACATCATGCTCATCAGGAAAAAGTCCAGAACGAAAAAGACGCAACATGACCGAGGAAAATGCACCACCCATCATCAGACTACTCGAGGAGCAGCTCGTACGAAAAGTCCTCCGACCTCAGCTCGTACTGCGGCAGCGTCGCCGGCCCGCACGACCCCGTCCCCAGCCCGTGATGCGCCCAGTCGAGCCTCACAATCGTGTCGTCCCGCCGCCGCTTGTGCAGCTCATACGGGTGCTGGCACTCGTCCAGATCCGCCGTCGTGTAGTGCATGGCCGAGAACGAAGCACCCTCGAGGTCGCCGAACCGCGCCGTGAGCAGCGTGCCGGGATCGCCGCCGCCGCCGCTGAGCAGCTGCTTGAACTTGACCCAGCGGACGTCCGTCCTGTTGCCGCCGTCCTGGGGAAACTCATAGTCGGTGAAAAGGGCGTCGACGCCGCGCCGCCACGTGCCGAAGCGCTGGCTCATCTTCTTGTCGCGGTAGCTCTCGCCCGGGCCGCGGCCGAACCACTCGACCTCGTCGACGCCGGCGAGGCCGAGCGTCAGGCCGATGCGCGCAAAGGTGCCCGGCAGGCGCAGCCCGCGCGGCGTGCCCTTGATCTTGATGTGGCACGCCTCGCCGCGGAAGGAAAAGGTCGTCGTCGTGTCGACGCCCCACGCGAGCACGGGGGGCGCGATGCGCGCGTGCACCGTCACTTCGAGGCTGTGCTTTGTCTCGCGCCACTCGGCGCTGCGCACGTGGGCGTGGGTCTGGTGGAGGCGGCGGTCTCGCCACTCCCAGCCGAAGCGGCCGCCGCGGTCGTTGTCGGTGAGGGCGCGGTAGAAGTCGAGCGTGAGGGGGGAGGTGAGCAGGTTGAGCTTGGGCTGGTCGCCGCGCGTGACGCTCGTCAGCGTGCCTTCGTGGAGGTCGAACCCCCACGTTTTCAAGCCACTGCTCGAGGTGATCGAGAGAAAATGGGAAGACTCTTGCGTTATCGTGGGGAGACGAGTGGTGTTGAGTTCCATGCCTAGATGGTGCAGGCTCGCCGTCAGGCTGTCCGGCTGGCCAATTTGAATGTCGCCCCATGCAACCTCGTGGCCAGCAGGTGCCCAGGCCGTGCGCTCCTTCAAGCTGAACCTCAAGTTCAAGAAGGCTTCTTTTCCTGCAGCGACGTAAAAGTCACTTGGGCGCGGAATCGTCATCTTCGCCTTTGTGTGTGGTTTCACGCCTGGAGTTGTCAGTACAACCGCTACAAGTCGGCGTTGATGGACCGACCTTTTGGAATGGCAATCGAGATCTCTGCAAAGCGATGATCCTCGGTGAGAAAGTGGGCGTGGCACGTTAAATGATCCAAAGTGAGAAAATCGTATCGGTTGATCACGGTAACCTCGTCGCCGTCGAGTCCCAGTACCTGCACAGGCTCGATGGCCTTCTTGTACTCGACAAGACCCGGAGTCGGCGTATGATCAGAGAAACATAGCCCGTCCATGACAAAGTTCTTGTCGTTGGGGTCGTCTCCAAAGTCACCGCCATACGCCATGTACTCTTCGCCATCTTTCGTCTTCGTGCGCAGACCCTACAAAGGGGTCAGCTCGGCCTTTCTCAGACATGGCGATCGACTTACATGATTGGCCCACTCCCAAACGAATCCTCCCATGAGCCTAGGGTACCGGTAGAACGCCTCAACGTACTCTCGGATGGCTCCCGGACCGTTGCCCATGGCATGGATGTACTCGCACAAAACCAAGGGCTTCTCCCAGTCCTTGTCTCTCGCCGCGTTGATGACGCTCTCGACCGAGGAGTACATCCGGCTGTAAATGTCCACTGTCCGCGCTCCGTAGTCCGCTTCGTAATGGACAAGGCGCGTCGTGTCAACGCTCTTAATGAAGTCATACATGGACTGGTGGTTCCGTCCGTAGAACGCCTCGTTCCCCAGCGACCAGATGATCACGCACGCGTGGTTCTTGTCGCGCAACACCATCTGACGCGCCCTGTCGACGTAGGCATCTCTCCAGTCAGGGTTGTCAGACGTAAACTTGGACGCGTCGCCGCCGACGGAAGCAAAGCCGTGGCATTCAAGGTCCGCTTCGTTGAGGATCCACAATCCCAGCTGATCGGCCAGATCGTACAGCCTGGGATCATTGATGTAATGTGACGTACGGATGGCATTGATGTTGTACTCCTTCATCTGCAAGAGGTCGCGCTTGAGAAACTCGTACGGCACAGCCCGTCCGGAGTCGGGGTGATGCTCGTGACGGTTGACGCCCCTGAGCTTGATCGGTTCGCCGTTGACGCAAAAGACGCCATCAATGAGTTCAGTCCTGCGGAAGCCGACACGCTGCGGGATGACGCAGCCGGGGAAGCCGAGCAAGAGCGTGTACAAATATGGTGTCTCGGCCGTCCACTTGTGTGGGTTCTTGACTGGTAATTCAAACGTGAGGTCGGTGGTGCCCTGCGCCTGCGTCGCGCCATGGTGGGTTTCCCCGAACACTGGCTCGCCGTCGGCGTCGAGAAGCCTCAACGAGACAAAGGTAAACTCGCTCGTAGTGACGCCAACTTTGAGGACGGCATTCTTGTAGTCGTCATCCAAGAGCGTCTGGATGTGGATATCGTGCGGACTGAACCGCTCAAAGGCATGCAGGTAGACGTCTCTAAATATGCCACTGAGCCACCACTGGTCCTGGTCCTCAATGTAGGTGCCGTCGCAACGCTGGTAGACCTCGACGGCGAGAGTGGCGGAGCGCCCAGCCGTGACGAGTCTGGATATGTCGAACTCGCTGGGATTACGCGATCCTTGCGAGTAGCCGACCTTGTGGCCGTTGACCCAAACGGTAAAGGCAGAGTCGACGCCCTCAAACCTCAACCGCAACTGATGGTCCTTGAAGGCATGGGGAACCTTGAAAGTCGTCAGGTGCCTGCCGCACTCGTTATCAGTGTAGGAGACGTTTGGCGGGTCCACAGGGAAGGGAAAGTTGTAGTTGGTGTACTGGGGACCTTTCCCAAAGCCCTGACACTGCCACATGCCAGGGACGGCAATATCACTCCACTGATGCTCGGCAGCATTGTGGTCGTACCCAGCCTCCCAGAAGTTGCGTGGGCCATCGAAGGGTGAGGTTGACAGGTGAAACTTCCAGGTTCCTGACAGGCAGATGGCCTTGGCCTTGCTGACATCCCACGTCAGAGCGTCCTTCTCGTTCGGATAGGTGAAGAAGCTGCTTCGTGGGGCCAGGGTATTGTGGTGGAGAACCTTGAGGTTGTTCCAGTCCGGGGTTGCGACGGGGAGATGGTGTCCAGGTCGGCTGAAAGCGGGAGGAGCCAAGCTCTCGTCTGGGACATCACTTGAAGCACTGCTCTGGCTGCTTGGCGTACTGGCTCTCACTTGAACGTCAAAGTGCAGGACAGCGTCCTCGTCAATGGTCGGTTCGGCGCCATGCTGAGCTGACATGGTCAACGCTTGATCGAGATTCGCGAAGAGGCGCAAGGGCTTTGCCCGACTGAGATGACACTTGCGGATGTACAACACGGGCCGTCGGGTGTAATGGCCTTGGTAGGAAATGAGCTAGAGCTTGGAACTCGGAATGAAATAAGCAGGATAATGATACAACCAAGGCAAGGATGGACCAAGCAAATCATGTAGCGTATAGCGTGTCACAGGATACAAGGACGAGATCTGATCATGGCACAACATCACGAGGGGTACATGGAAGAAGCCCCTGCCGTGGTGACGCCTCGTGAGGAGGGATGAGCCAGAGGCAGGCACGACCTGGAGAAAGGCGGGGATGCGGGGAAGCCACGTGACTGTACGAGTATCGGAATTCAATCGTCATGATTGGCTCGGCAGTTCAGGATTTCGGAGAAGGCGCTGACATAATGCATCACCGCCCGAAGGTTCCACTTCACTCTGGGCGAAACGGCTGCCGACTCAGAAGTGAGGTAGCCCGGAAGGTGACGCCCTGGTCCCTGCCCCGTCTGGTCCTTCCATCTCGGCCTTTCCTTCGAGTCCCTGAGAAGGGCCAAGGTCATCTTCTCTTGATCATCCATACCACACTCACGAACTCCCATCAGCGAGGCGAATATTGCATGGCCCCCCTCTCTTGTGTCTGGGCATCTCCAGAAGTGACAACCAGAAGTGACAAGATCATTACCCTCGCACCGAGCGGGTTCAAAAACAGACTCGGAGTCAGTGCTACGTTCCCAAAACTTGCTGATCGGCTGTCTACCAAGAACCTCCAAGCCTTCGCCCACCCTTCGACCCGCACCATCTCGTGGCTCCATATCCACCCCATCGACCCCCTGAGAATCTGCCATTCTCGACTTGGCGCCGGCAGATCCCTTCTTTGTTAGGCACGCACGAATCCGAAGCCAGCGCTTGTCGCTTGTACCGGGAGCTTTCGCCCATGAGCCGGCCATTACTTCCGCCTTCATGACGCCTTGAACAGCATCCTACCGGAGGCTTGTCTTCCATCCTGGGAATGGCGGGTATCAGAGTAGATGAATGCCGGGGTAGCATGCCTGCTTCTTCGACAGGAGCCGCGTGTTGCCCACTCAATGTGTGGCGCCGACCCTGACGAAGGTCCTCCTTCTTCATGGGGTCTATGCGGGAGCGCCGACGTGATGGCTCTTCGTGCATGAGTTTGCTCACGAGGTCTGGGGTGGCCCTGGTAGCAGCAGATTGTCATGGATCCTCGTTGTTGAACCATTTATAACCCGCGATCGATCTCCTCGTCTGATCATCCCACTCTTCCTTGCATCCCAGTATCAACCGGCTTGACAGACCTCGAACAGTCATGAAGTACCTTCAGCTTCTTCTCGCGGCCGCTGGCACGGCTCGCGCCGCCCTCGATTGGCAAAATGTCCGCATCGGAGGCGGTGGCGGCTTTGTGCCCAGCATCGTCTTCCATCCCAATGCCAAGGGTGTCGCGTACGCAAGGACTGACATTGGCGGAATCTATCGCTGGAACTCGGACGACTCGTGGACTCCCATCACCGACTACGTTGCCCAGAATGACACCTGGTATGTCGACTTGTTCGTATGCGTCTTGGTCCGGAGGGGGACTGACTTTGCGCAGGAACAGATGGGGCATTGATGCTCTGGCCGTCGACCCGTCCGACCCCGATGTCGTTCTCGCCGCCTTTGGCATGTACACGAATGACTGGTAAGGCACATCCGCGAGACCAATAACACAAATTCATCAGCGCCTTCGCTCACACCGGATGTGGTAGGGACCCCAATGCTGGCTCGATCGGCCGCAGCACCGACCAAGGCAAGACCTGGACCTTCACAGAGCTGCCTTTCAAGGTCGGAGGCAACATGCCCGGCCGTGGCATGGGCGAACGACTAGCCGTGGATCCCGCCAACTCCGATGTCATTTATTTCGGAGCCCGCAGTGGCAAGGGCCTGTGGAAGAGCACCGATGCCGGCAAGACCTTCTCCGAGGTCACCTCGTTCCCCAACCCCGGAACGTTCAACCCCAACCCGAACGAGGCTGGCGGCTACGGCAACGACTTGCAAGGTCTGGCCTTCGTCACGTTCGACACGAGCGCTGCGACGGCCAACGGCGCGACGTCGCGCATCTTTGTCGGAACGGCTGACAAGACGGCCGAATCTGTATACGTCTCCGAAGATGCTGGCGCTACCTGGACCGCCGTCGCCGGCCAGCCCACCGGCTTCCTTCCTCACAAGGGCAGGGTTGAGCCCAAGGAAGGCGCCTTGTACCTGACCTATAGCGACGGCAGCGGCCCTTACGATGGCGCCAAGGGCGCCGTGTACCGCTATGACATTGCAAAGGCCACCTGGGCTGACATCACTCCCGTCACTGGTGAGGACCTTACCTGGGGGTATGGTGGTCTGGCCCTGGACAGTCAAAACCCAGGCACTCTGGTTGTTGCGTCCCTGAACTCCTGGTGGCCCGATGCGCGGCTCTTCCGCTCCACCGATTCCGGTGCAACGTGGTCCCAAATCTGGACGTGGGCCAATTACCCAGAAATCAACGCCAAATACAAGATTGACACTCCCAAGGCGCCCTGGATCAACCATGACTTTATCGCAGTTGACTCCAAGAAGCTTGGCTGGATGATTGAGTCGCTCGAGATTAACCCCTTCGATAGCGACCACTGGCTGTACGGCACAGGCCTGACCGTCTTTGGTGGACACGACCTCACCAACTGGGACTCGAACTCCACGGTCAACATTGAGTCTCTCGCCGACGGCATTGAGGAATTTGCTGTTCTCGACTTGGCTTCGGCGCCCGGCGGCAGTGAGCTTTTTGCCGGTGTCCACGACGACAGCGGTTTCACCTTTAAGAGCAAGGCCGACCTCAACACGTCTCCCAAGACGGCGTGGAACACACCTATGTTTGTTGGCTCGAGCGGCGTGGACTATGCTGGTAACTCGGTGTCCAAGGTTGTCCGCGTCGGTAATGTTGAGGGCAGTGCCCAGCTGGCCACGTCATCCGACGGCGGTGTCACTTGGGGTCTTCATCCCGCCAACGGTAGCACCCAGGCTGGCGGCTCCGTTTCTCTGTCGGCCGACGGCACGACCATTCTATGGTCCACCTCCGGCGTCGGTGTCCAGCGGTCGACTAACCAGGGCCCACTGTCCCGCGTCTCGAGCCTGGCAGCCGGCTCCGTGATTGCCAGCGATAAGAGCAATGATGATGTGTTCTATGCTGGCTCGGATGCCTTTTACGTCTCCACCGATGGCGGTGCTACCTTTGCCAAGGGAGGTGCACTCCAGGGTGCCAACTCGGTTCGCTCCATTGCCGCCCATCCGACCGAGGCCGGCGACGTGTGGGCCTCGACCAATGTCGGCATATTCCACAGCACCGACTCTGGAAAGACGTTCACCCTGATCTCCACCGAAGTCACCAACACGTGGCAGGTATCCCTCGGTGTGGGAGCCAACGGATGGAATGTCTACACATTTGGCGACGGCGCCGATGGGCCCAAGTTGTACGGCAGCGGCGACGGCGGTGCTACCTGGACCGATCTCCAGGGTGAGATCGGCTTTGGCGCTGTCGATGGCGTCAGGATTGCCGGCAGCGGCAACGAGGCAGGCCTGGTGTATGTTGGCACCAATGGTCGTGGTGTTTTCTACGGCCAGGGCAACCTGTAGGCTGATGTGGAGAGAGCGATTCTTGTATATACTTTGACTTTTGTGATACTTATCTTTCATTCTGCCCCCAACTCGTGCGAACGTCAACTAGTAGTGAAGGGTCTCTGTTGTAATGCTGACTGCCGGACGTCTTAGCAATGATGTGGTCGACACGCCGCGAGCATTGAGGAGAGATAAAGCTCGACAAGCTCCGAGGGCTCAATCACGGGAATGTAGTACTGCAGCGAGAGGAATGTAAGGCATCGCGAATCATCCTGGTCAATTAAGCTATGCACCTCTGCAGGTCATCTCTACGGCTTCACAATCTGCAGGTGATCCTGCCCCAGGTCCGTGAAGAAACTGGCGCCCTTGACCTGCTTTGGCGTCGCCGGGTCCGTGGCATTGCAGAGCTTGGCAAAGTCGCCGTTCTTCTCGAGCGCGTCGGCCACGAACTTGGCGTACCTCCCGACGGCGCACGACTTGCCAGGTCCGTCCTGGCACGAGGGCACGGGGTACACGGCCTCGTTGATGCGGATGCGGATGTACGTCTCGGTGCGCGCGCTGTTGCCGCCACCCGCGGCGGACGTCGGGCGCGGCACGCAGCTTCGCGTCGTCGTCGTCGTCGTCGTCGTCGTCGTCGCTGTTGGCGCGGGCGGGACGGGCCCGTTGACGCGGCAGCGGAGGCGCTCGAAGGCAATGGTGCCGCGCATGGGGGAGATGCGGGAGCTGCGCCAGAGACGGTCGGCGGGGATGCGGTCCGTGGGCAGGGGTTTCTGGTCGTCGAAGACGCCGAGGGCGGCGGCGAGCTGGTTGAGCTGGCCGTCGTTGAGGAAGCTCATGATGAGCCTGGGCAGGGTGAAGGCCGTGCCGTCGGCGCGGACGCCCGCGACGCCGGGGCCCTTGGCGAGAAGCTTGACGAGGCTGTCGAGGAAGGGCGTCATCATCTTGGAGGCGACGTCGACGGCGGGGCCGACGCCGTAGTAGTAGCGGAGGTCCTGGTGGTACTCGTACTGCTCGAGCTCCTCCTGGGTGAACGTGTCGCAGAAGGGCGACAGGCGGCCGGTGATCTGGGACTCGAAGCCGCAGATGTAGGGGAAGTCGTTCCAGTGGCTGTCGTCGAGGACCAGGTCGCCGTCGATGTACTGGGAGAGGCGCTTGATGAAGGGCGGCAGCCAGAGGGCGCGCCACGCGTTCGTCTGCTTGCTGCTGTCGTCCTTGAAGGTCGGGCACATGTCCGAGGGCGCGAGCGTGTCGCCGAGGTGAGCGGGCACGCCACGGCCGGTGACGGAGACGACGTTGCCGAGAAGGGTCGAGTTGGGGCCGAGGTAGCCGCGAACGAACAGCTGCGCCGTCTGCAGGACGCGCGTGTAGTTGTTGGCCCAGACGAAGAACTCGTCGCCCTCCTCGTAGAGATCCGGGTAGCGCGTGCGTAGCGTGTAGCCCATGTCGTAGAGCTCCTTGTAGCCCGTCTTGCTGAGCTGGGCGATCTGAATGTCGGGACGCGTGAGCGGCGTGTCCCATGTGTGAAAGAACGACAATGGGCCGCTGGCCTTGTAGCTGCTCTCCTTGAACTGTGCTGCCGTCAGCTTTTCCTCCTTTTTCTGCCAGGCGAGAAAACGCGACTTACACGGCGAGCCATCTCAAGCCAGCCATTGTGGGCGCCCGTGTCAGGGAAGCGCGAGCCGTGGCGGAGGACATAGGCAGCTTGGTCGACGTGACAGTTCTCCGGGATGTCGGAGGAGATGCCATTGACATCTCCGGCTGCAACGATGTGTTAGGCTCGTCAATCGCAGCATCTCAAGGACGTGTCGGCTTACCAGCAGTCCACGGGCCATTGCCGCCAAGATGCGAAAGCGGGTTCTTCGCATAGGCGCCGTCGGGCAAGAGAACGGGCTGGACAGGGTCAAGCGACGCACCGGCCGCTGCGCGAGTGACGCCGGTGAGAGCCAGGATGGCGAGAAGGGGGGCGGAGAAGCTCATGGTGAGAGGGCGCTGCGTCCGGCGACCAGGATCCAAGCAAATGAGCCTGCGGCTTCTATGAGATGGAGGGTGAGGCAGGACATGGTCGCAAGGCAACGGTCAGACGGCCTCTTATTTATTGCGTCGTGTGACTGTCAATTCGACTGTTGATCTGCAATGCCTGGCCCGATGGTGGATAACGACACGAGCGACCGGGGAACTGGCCGGCCGGTGCTGTCGAGTGCAGCACGACGAACGCGACGCTGTTCCTGCGTAGCCGACAACAGACAATTGGCTCCCCCTCACCTGTCGGCGCTGTTCAACACGTGCGCCCGGGCCAAGAGCCGGGTGAGGTAGTGGTCGTCGCCGGGATACCCGGCACGTGCAGGCTGAGGGGATGGTGATTTGCCGATTGCTCGTCCTGTGGTCCGGACCCTCCAGAAGTGGGAGCGTAACCCGGTTTGGGGTCGATAGGAGGAGATTGCAACGTTGTCTACTGTTGTCGTATTGGTGAAGTTGGATGCCCTCTTGTCCGGCTGTCGGCCGAGTCAACGCCTTGACAAGATGGCACGTGGCTTCGTACTTCGTCCATGCTCGTGGGGGTGTAGGGTAGATAGATGAATGAGTGATCATGAGTTCTTTCCAGATGAGTCGATTTTTTCCCGAGTTAAAGTGCCATCTGGAGGCCAGAGCTAGCTAGCCTCGATATGGTCGATTCGCTGTGCTCTTCTCAAGAACCAGGAATGACGAGCCATGGTGCACAAAGTGCCTCCTGCGACAACCCGCTCTACATGCAAACACACATAGCATCAAAAGGAGGGAAATGGTTGGAACCGGCAACTGTATTGACAAGCACTCTGTGCCTCAAAGAAAGAACTATATACAACAAAAACGTTCAGGCGCTCGCTTGCAAAAGGGGAAAATATAATGCAATGGGCGCCCCGAAATTTCCCGCGCCTCGGGCTCTCAGCTTCATCCGTCTTTTCCTTTCATCCTCGTACAGTCATGGCACCAGTTTAGGCGCGGAGAGCCTTACGGCGGAGGCGGAGGCTCTTCTTGACGCGGCGGCGGGTGCACACCTCCTCGACCTCCTCGTCGTCAGCGACGGGGGCGGAGGGCTCGGTGGCGGGAGCGGACTCGACGGGCGTGGCGGGCTCCTCGGGGGTCTCCTCGACGGGCGCGGTGGGGGTGGCAGGGGCAGACTCGACGGGGGTCTCGGGGGCAGGGGCGGGAGCGGGAGCGGAGGAGCCGTCAAAGGTGAGCTTCTGGCCGGCGGTCTGGGCGACGGAGCCGACGTTGGCGGAGCCGAGGGCGGTGTAGGCGTAGGGGACCGAGGTCAGGGTGCCCTCGGGGACGGCGTTGTCGTCGGCGCCGATGACGTCCTTGACGACGACGAAGCCCGTCTCGTCCGAGTCGCGCGAGACGATGGGGTTGGCCGAGTTGACGAACGAGGTCGACTCGACGAGGATCTGAGCGCCCATGCGGGCGTTGACACCGGTGAGGCCAACGTTCTCGTAGAGGTTGTTGACAATGTGGACGGCGGTGCCGAAGCGGACCGAGGGGTTGCGCGAGCCCGTGTTCTCCCAGTGGTTGTTGATGTAGGAGACGTGGAACTTGCCAGTGTCCTGCGCAGCGTTGTTGTCGCTGTGGCCGATGAGCGAGGCCTTGTGGTGGTCGTGCAGGTAGGTGTTGGACACGGTGATGAAGTCCGAGGCACGAGTAATGTCGAGCAGACCGTCGTAGAAGTCCTTGCCGCTGTCGAGGTCGGACGAGAGGTCGCAGTGGTCGACCCAGACGTTGGTGGACTCCTGGATGCCAATGGCGTCACCGTTGGCGGCGACGACCTTGGAGATCTTGAGGTTCCTCAGGATCACGTTGGACTGCTTGTTGATGTAGTGGCCAATGCCGGTGACGGACGAGCCGGGGAGACCAATGACGGTCTTGTCGGAGGCGAGGCGGATGCGGGCGCTGCCGGAGATGGCGCCGTCGACAACGATAATGGCGGCACCCTCGGCCTCGAGCGCGGCCTGGTAGTCGGCGAGCGAGGTGACGGTGGTGGTGGGACCGCCGGCACCACCGGTGGTGCCGGTGCCCTCGGTGCAGAAACCGATGTCACAGGCGTCCTCGACGGAGGCACGCTTCTCGATGGTGCGGGTGGCCAGGAGGGACTTGGGGGTCCACGAGGCGGGGGTGGGGGTCGCGCTGGCGACGGCGGCCAGGACGGCGACGGAAGAGGCAATACCAGAGAACTTCATCTTGACGATCTGAAAGTGTTGGGTTGGTAGAAAGTTGTTGTTGTTGTTGTGATAGTGTTTTCAAAGAGTGAACGGAGTTGGACGATCAACGTCTTGGCTTGATCAAGAGAATGGAAGAAAGAATGTGGTACAGAGAGGAAAATGGGAAGAAAGAATGAAGGACGAGGCAATGTGTCTGAAGAGAGAGAGAGGTCGGAAAGCAGCTGAATGCTCGCTGCGGACTTGCTCTTAAGTATCATTCTTTGGAGTTTTCTTCTTCACCCCTTTGCCTCTCCGCCTGCCTCTCTACCGTTCCGCCTAGCGCTGGCCCTCGTCTCCAGCCTTCACCCCCCCTGCCCTGATGGCCCACCTGCATGGCCATGCTCCTCGGAAGCACTACCGGGGATCTTGCGCTAGCATCGACATGGTGAGGTTGCTTGGAGTTGAGGCAATGAAAGGGGTGTTGTGGACCTCGACGACAGGGACCCCGGCCAGGCAAACCCTATGATCGCGACGTCGTGAGGTGGGGGCGAGGAGGGGGATCACAAGCAGAGGTTAGCGCCACGAGGTCTGACCGACCTATGCAGTAGACGACTTCAGACGGCGGGCACGACTTTGACAGGACCGCATAGGACGACTTCTCTCCAGCCATGACGTGACGTGCCCGTCGAGACTTCGACTAATCCAGCCAGGGGGGACCCTCCATGGCTGCGTTGAGTAGCGCCAGAGCCTCCAGGTAAGGGGCACTCATCTCTATCAGAAACGGCGCCAACCCGCATCGCGACCATTGGGTCAGTGGTGGCTCAAAGTACAAAACTAAGTTGGACT